CCATCTGAGGTTGCTTGTGCCTAAGTCATATCCAGCAAGCATTTCATTTACTAGACATCTGGATCATCTGCTCAGTCATAAACAGATTAGAGTACTATATTCGAACCTGGAGCCTAGCCGCCTCCTTTTGTTTTGCCTTAAGTTTTTTCTTCTTCTTTCTTTTGCCTGAGAGCATCACATTTAACCCATAAATGATTATAACATACACCGATACACAATAACAAAACAGCCTGATCTCATAATTCAGATCATTTCTGACTTAGTGAAGTTAGGGTGTGTTTGGTTTGACGACTAAGGTGGTCCATCTTCTTCTCACTCCTCACTTTTTCTATTTGGTTTGTGGAATAGAATGGGTTGATCCATCACCACCTCATTCCTCACAAGCTAATAATTAGTATATGCATGAGCAATGGGTTGGTTCCACCAAAATTCATGGGATGAACTCATGATGCATCACCTCATGAAGCATGGGGGGTGACTCCACAAACCAAACACACCATTACTGTTAAGTATGATCTAACTACCGTTTTCAGGCCATCCAATCACCAATTAACCCGTTGAGCCAAGCCCAAAGAATATATCTGGGAAATTAGTACAGAGAGCAATGCAAGACAGAATTTGATTGATACCTTTTGATCTTTTTTCAGCTTCCTTTCTAACTCTTTCTCATCAAGTTGCTGCAGGAACAAAAAATGAATGAATAGAATAAGTTGCTAACTTGAACAAAAAGTAAATGCAGTTCAGACTGCACAAAGGTGCCAAGTACTCCCGGAGGACCTTTTTCCGTGAGACAAGGTGAGGTAAGTGAGTACACGAACCTTCTCCTCAGCAACCTTCTCCGCCCCCTGCGCATCAGGTTGCTGCACAAAACCACACTCAAATCAGTCCCACGAAGGCACAAACATAGAGAAGGCATCCCCACGAGTAGCAGCAGCGGATGGGCGGGTTGCTCGATCAGCGCCCCCTTTCTTACTTTGTCCATGCTTCAGATCAAGCCGGCGGATTGGCTCTTCTCTGCGCCGCTGCCGCCGGCAGTAGGAAGGGTGGAATACGGACAGTGGAATACGGAAGGGTTTAGGGTTTAGGCGTGTGCGGGCGGAGGTCGCCGGTGGGGGAGGAGGAGCGGCGGCCGGCGGGCGCGTGCGTGTGCTGACGGCGGCGGGCGCGACTAGAGGAGAGATGCGGGAGAGCAACCAGCGGCGACGGCGGATATGCGGCCATGCGGGAGAGGCCGAGCAAGGGATATAGGTGTTGGGGACTTGGGCTTTGGGCTGTTTGATGGGCCTTCTTCTTTAACGAAGTCCATTTATCTCCGACCATCTTTTTGTTCTCTATGACAGGTGGAATTCCATGACAGGTTGATGATGATTTGATATTGGGCTGTGTAATGCTTGGTTGGGCCGGACACTACGATGCATGTGCGTGACGATAGCTTTGCGTTCGAGTGCTCGTGTCGTGGGAACAGGTAAATCCTTTCTTATTCTTTTCTTTTTTTCTTATTTATTTTATTTTATTTCTTTTTGTTATTCTTGACTTTTTTTTCCTATTGACACCTTGTTTTTACATTTTTTTTTCTTTCTTCCTATGTTACGTGTTTTTTTACCTCTCTCTTTTCATGTTCCTTCTGCGTTTTGTATTTTCTTTACTTATATTTTATTTTATCTATCTTTGTTTGTATTTTTGTTCTATATATTTAATAGCATTTTTCATGTATCCGTGATCTTGTGATATTGTGGTGTTATTCGCTTGAAACTTTTCTAGTTTTATTTTAGAGTAAATTGCACTCACCATACAACAACTATTAAAATGGGTGCATGGTAGTCCAACATCTTGTAATTTGTCTAATTTAATGTGGCAACTATTTAGGTGGGTGTATGTTGATCCAACTTCTTGTAGTCTGTTTAATTTGATGCGAGAACTTGACTCATTGACGCATATATGGTCCAAGCACATGTGTTTGATGCCATTGGAATAATGACTCGTTTGCAGGCAAGCTAGATCTCTTACTTGTTGGATTTAATTTAGGCTTGATCTACTTTTAATTCAACAAAATCAAAAAAATCTTAGCCCATGTTAAATGTTATAGTGCAATATAGTTTAGTCTCGTATGAATTTTGACTAAACATTGACTCAACTTAAATAGGTGAACTATGTGTGGTCCTATTGAAAAGTTGAAGGACGTGCCACACGCGCACGCGCGTGACACCACCGAGCTGAGACGTGAGCGTGCACGAGCCAGGCCATGCCACGACATCTCTGCTCGCTGTGCCGGGCTATCAAGTTTTTGGAAAGCGTACGGTTGCCTAGCGGATTTTTGCACATTGATGTTAGTACAATTAAGGGTCTAATGATATTTGTGAGATGTGGACATATTACAAGTGTACGGGGATGCATGACAACACAAGGAGACCGCCCAGTTCAAATCATTGCGGCATATTGACCATTGATGGTTTACCTTAAATTTCTATTTTTAAATTTGAGTATAGGAAAACCCCCTAAACCGAGTTGCAGCTCTTCCTCCATGCAATGGACAACCCACGGCTTTAGTGAGCCTTAAATGACCCTATGTAGGGGTGAAAACAGATGAAAAAAATATTATAGTATAGAAATAAAAATAGTCAGTTTGGTATTTTCCATATTTATGAAATCAATGGAAGCTTTTATATTTGGCCAAATTCAGAAATGGTATAATAATATAGTAAACGATTCAAGCTGAGTGATGGATGAGATGAGTGTGTGCTAGGGTGTAGCTTCCAAGGACAGTGATTTGGAGTGTACAAAGACATGTTGTTACAATGCTTGGACCATATATGTAACAATGAGCCAAGTTTTCGTATCAAATTAAACAGAATACAAGATGTTGGACCAACACACACCTATCTAGATACTTACCACATTAAATTAGACAAATTACAAGTTGTTGGACTAACATGCACCCACTTAAATAGTTATTATATGGTGAGTACAATTTACACTTTATTTTATTGTTCTGATAATGTTTCGTGGTTTATTTTTATTATTAAATAGTACTCATGAGATGTTCCGTACCGATCTTCTGGTCCGACTGGTCCGTAGCAAGTATAGCGGCAACTGATCCTTCACTCACCTCCTATTTTTTGTGATCTTTTATGTTAACTAGGGAGGACACAAGCGCATTTGCAAATAGGAGATGTTGCAGGGATTCTAGATAATTTTAAAAAAAATAGACTATTTATATTTATAGTTATATGAATGAATCTATCTTAAATTAATTTTTATGAATGGTTTGACATATCGACATGGACAACTAAATGTATAGTAGTGGATGAAGAGATAACTATTATAATTACATGTGCTAGTTGGCTATAATTGCATGTGCTAGTTTGACATATCGACATGGACAACTAAATGTATAGTAGTGGATGAAGAGATAACTATCATAATTACATATGCTAGTTGGCTATAATTGCAAGTTCCAGTGAATTATTAATGTGGATAGCTTGCATGTTGAGAGAAATCCCTAGTGGAGTTTAGCTTTATAAGAGTATAAGATTACTTTTGACTCTCACATGAGGCGCCGCCAAAACGCATTGCAAACAAATTTTCTCTATCTTAATATAAAGATGTGCAAATTTTTTATGTGTTCGAGAAAAGTTATTTGTGCGGCGACAGATCAAATTCGAGAAAAAATATTTGAGAAGGAATAAATAACGCAGTAAAGAAATCTCACAGGCCGGCCGGGCTCCGCAGAATGAAGTCGCCAGATAGACAGACACAAGAACTATTAATCCAGGGAATGCATCTGCTCTCCAGTAATTAAATTAAATAAATTGAAACAAAATACTAATAGCACGTGCCATGTGGCACAGTGGCAGGTTATACAGGGACTAAAGTTTACAAAAGGTCACATCGAGTGTCACATTGGGTGTCACATCAGGTGTTTAAATATTAATCATAAAACTAATTACAGGAGCCATGACTAATTCATAAGACGAATTTATTAAGCCTAATTAATTGATCATTAGCATATATTTACTGTAGCACCACATTGTTAAATCATAAACTAATTAGGCTTAATAGATTCGTCTCGTAAATTAGTCTCAATCTGTGTAATTAATTTTATAATTAGTTTATGTTTAATTCTCCAAATTGATATCAAACATCCGATATGACGTAGACTAAACTTTAAGAGGGAAAAATAAAAAAATATAAGGCAGCACCGAGTCCGAGTCACACGTTGGTTCGTTAACAAAAAAAAAAGCACAGGTTGGTTTGACCGTGGACGCCGAGCTGAGCATCTACCGAGTCCGAGTCAAAGCAAGGGAGTAGAAACCTTGGCAACCAAGGCAGCGTCAGCATCATGTATCCGCAAGCACTCGTTCGTTCACCCCCCCGGCCTTCTTGGACGAAGCTTCGAGCTACCCTCCCTTGCGATCCGGCATCCGCGCGCAGCAACAAAAGCACCCCGGCCCATCACGCAGCGGCCTCCTATAAATACAGCTGGCTCTCACGTAGACCACAGGAGCTCAAACGCAATAACGATCAGGAGGTGATCGATCGGCTGCGGAGAATTACGTTAAGGCCGTGCTAAGGCCTTCTCCATCGCACCAGCTTGGCGTACTGCCCCAGCCTCCACGTCGGCATCAAGATTACATGTCACGTGGACTGGTGGCCTCGCAGGTAGCCTTTGTAGTTTGCAGAAGAACCATTTGCTTCAACTGAAGGACAGTAGAAGCACACGACGAAGAATGCGTCGTGACTGAAAGTGTTAGCCTGAGAGATGAGAGAGAGAGAGAGAGAGTAAAAAAGCTACTGCATGCATCTACTTTTTGCTGTGCAGGAGCAGGACATGGAACCATGTGTGTATGGATAGCTGGTAGCCTTGATTTTTTTTTCTTGCAAACGTGGAGCCTAACTTTAACATGGGGCTAATACTAATGTATGCCTGCGGTGTACCTGCCCTAAGATCGATTAGAGGAAAAACATCGTCGACCGATCCTTCGCTCTGTCGGCCAACAATCATGGTGCTGGGCTTCTTGGGAGGATGTTGCGGCGGTGCCGCCGTCGCTGCCGTGTCGCCTGCTGCCAGTAAGCAATCTGGAGGTGATCCAGAGGCTAAGCAGCAGCAGCAGTGGAAGCGGGGATCAGGTGAGGAGATGATGAACAAGGGAGGCGAGCAGCTAGCAGCAGCAGGGGGCAAGGACAAGGAAAGGAGGAAGAGGCGTGATCACCCGATCGTGGTGCATCACTTCCCCTTCCACCCTCGCCCCAGCTTTCTCTGAATTCCTTGAGGCCTCGTTCGGTTGTTCCGGAACGAGGTCAGGATCCGTTCTGGCTATTCAATTACTGTATAAATTAGGCTATCATTTCACGTGGAAATCTTCCATGCCTCGATTCCGAGAAAAACGAACGGCCCTGATTGAATGATTACTCCTCTTGGTTTTTCTTTTCTTTTTTACTTTGGACATGAGAGGCAGGTGTAATTCTTTAGTGATTCGATCTCGTGTGTGATCCATTGAGATATAGTATAAGAAAAACCCAATTTCCCAACACCATTTGCAGCAAAATATTGTACTCCTCTGTCTGCTCCAGTCCGAACGGAAGCCAATGCGTTCTTGTGACCTGCACCCGCCATAGGCACCTTGTAGATAGATTGATGGAAAATACCAAATGTGCCCGGTTCACGGATCAGATCTGATGGGGCATAATTGTGGGTGGAAATTCCAATTCTTGACTAGTATAGCGCGCATGCTAACGCCACGACAGCATATAACCATGCAAATCAAATAACCAAGCCATATATGTCGAATTATTAAGTATCACTGAGATATTTATGTTTCACGCAAATTAAATGAGATCTTGCGTTGCCATGGGATAATAATTTAATCAACCCTTCGAAATCACAACTGATGTTCCTGTGAACATCAGATGATATGCATAGAACTATTGGATTGATCTAATAGAGGCAAACCTGATTAAGGGCTAAAACAAAAGATAAAACCCACGCACAACCTAGCCCTGCCCGCACACAGGTCCAGTAGTATGTGCCTAAAAAACTGAGATTACACAACAGAGAATAACATGACATGACAAATAAATTAATGTTCTAGTCTCAAATTATATAGAAAACATAAATATCTCAGCACTCTGCTACTGTGAAGAGTGATGCCCTGTTCGCTTGGCTAATAAGTCATAGCTGAAAGTAATGTTGGCTGATTTGTTGTGAGAGAAAAATACTATTCATTGACTGAAAAAGTATGGCTTATAAATCCGACGAACAGGGCACGAAGCGTCTATGTCGTCTGCGCGTAATTTTCGTCCACCCGTTCTGTCCGTCACAGCTCTTCCACTTCCCAATCGGTCAAACAGCGCTAACAGGTGGGTCTTGCGCGCTCCTGCTCGCATGGGATCCCATCCCTGCCCCTTGCTGGATGATAAATCAGGAGGTTTGGATGGAATGTTAAAACTTGGTCATGTTAAACATTAGCAAAGATACTTAAAAAACAGAGATACCAAAAAAACAAAGATTTGTGCTTTTCCCTTCCCCTTGCTGGTGATTGAAGTATGCTAATGTATCCCAGCCCCAGTCTGTGACTGAAGTATCTATGCTAATGTTATAACAAAATAAAAAATAGAGACACATCCGAACTTACTCTTCTTCAATTTTTGGTTTCTGAAGCCAAATGCGCACGGTCTATTCTGGAGCACATATCCCTGCAAAAAAAAACCATTAGCATAGATACTTCAATTACAAGACATCAGCATATTACAGAGTACATGGTGTACGTAATTTTTTTTTATTCCGCGAGCAGGTTATTGACAAATCTGCAAGCAAGACTCTTGCCAAATCATAATCAGAAAATGGAAGTTTTTTTTTACCATATGTTATTATGTTTGTCAACGTGGCAGCAAATTTGATTAAAAAAACAAACAAACAGACCAAAGGAGACAGAAAGAGGTGTTGTTGTTCACGATTGTGTACATGATCGACATAGTTTTGATTTATGCATTTGAGGCCAAGTCTAGTGCTATACCACTATGTTTTACCCGTTCCAATAGGGTTGCTTGGTGGCCTTGAGCTGCGCGCCGCTGAGGTCGCCCAGGTCGTCCTTGAGGATGCCGCCGTTGAGGAAGATGACGAGCTGGTGCTAGAGTTGCATCTCAAACTTGGTGAGAGGATGAGGCTCGGTGGCGGAGATCCAAGACGGGGTGAACATGCAGAGCAAGTCATCGTCCGCGGCCTTGTTGCGCGCAAGTCGCGACGGCGGACACGTGCTCGCCCGTGCGGTGGCCGAGGTCGCGCTCAGCAGCGGGGACGGGAACTTGGGCGGCCTCCTGCTCCTGAGCTCGCGCCGGCCACGGAGGAGGGGAGGGCGCGCCCGAATGCACCAGGCCCCCCGCCGTCGCGTCTCCCTTGATGGGCTGATGGCCTCGGCCACTCCCGCGCGGTGTAGGGCCCCTGCCGCAGCGTCTCCCTCTACGTCACCGGCAACGTCCCCCTCCGGAGACGACGGTGCGGGCTGAAAAAGCGATGCGGCGATGCCGAGGAGCTCGGAGCCGTACCCGCGAGACGAAGCGGTGTCGGGGACCTTCAGGATGGGCAACCGCAGCGGCGGATCTATGGCGGGTCAGGGGTGAGGGACGAGGTCAGGAGGGCCGTCAGGGCCCGTTGTGCCCGCCGCCGCCTCGGGAGAGAGATGATGGGGTCTGCGATGCGGTGGGGCAGAGAGTGGGAGGGGAGCGAGAGAGTCACGTGGGGGAGAGGAAAAGTCACGCGTGCGTGCGGGAGAGGGGGCGTCGGTGGGAGAGGGAGAGCCACGCGTGGGGTGGGCGCGGTGTCGGATACCATAAAAAGGGGTACCCTAAGCAAGAACCGAAAAAAATTGCTTAGACCTTGCAAAAATCAAAGCCAAGGGACAACCACGAGATCTCGGCTGATTCACCGATTCGCCCGAGGCCTGCGCCGCAAAGGCCTCGGTCGAAAGGCCAACCCTCCGCCTTGCCGAGGCCCCCTTGCCGAGGCCCTCCCGCCGAGGCCCCGCCCCGCTAGGCCTCGGACGGGTTACCGATTCTCCGATTCACCCGAGGCCCCACGCATAAAGCCTCGGACGAAGTACCGATTCTCCGACTCGCTCGAGGCCGGCTCGGCAACAACCTCGTCGCCTCCGTCTCGATCGACTTCTCTGACAAAACGTCACGCGTCCAACCACTCCCGCAACGTCAGCCTCACGACGACGCAGTGCAGCAGAGCGGCCGACGGATGAAGATGAGGGATCGAAAGCAGGGGTTACTGCCAGCCCGTGTTTCAAGATTACGCCCATGATTGGCGCCCAGTCGTGACTTGTGCCACCTAATTCCTGCTCCAGGAACAGCGTGGCGTGGGGAGTCAAGTCCGAGTCACTATAGCCTCGTAATCGATTATAGGGACCAATTGCTCCTCCAAGCCTCGGAAATCCACTTTGTGGTCTTGGCGACCTCGGGATTTGCGCCCCGCGAGCCCCCCCACGATGGCTCGGCCTCGCACCAACCGAGCCTTGGCTTTTTACACTGCGGAACGCATAAGCGGCCGCACGTCGTCGGCCATGCCCTCGCGCCAAGCTATCTTTGGAGCTCCCACGCCGCACAAGATCGGGTGTGACCGCGCATTGCTCCAGGTGCATCAAGGACAAGATCACTCCGCTGACTATGCCGCCACAAAGAGCAAGCCTACAGGACTCGTAAACGCTACCTCCGCCACAAGACGCTGCATAGCTTACACATGTATCACCCCTGTCCCCCTTCAACTATAAAAGGAGAGACCGGGGCCATTTCTAGACACGAGGCGAAAGATAGACGAGCACTCGCATAGGCTCACGTAGATTCAGACACACGCTTCCCCGCTGCCTGAGAGCAACGTCTCAAGCAGCCCGCACCGCTCCGCGCAGAGACCTGGGACTAGCTCCCTCTCTCGCCCAGCTTGTAACCCCCTACTACAAGCACTTCGGTGCAAGGAATACAAGATCGACCTCTCAGACTGGACGTAGGGCACCGATTGCCTGAACCAGTATATACCTTGTGTCTCTTTGCATCACCATCCGGGATTAGGGGCACGCAGTTCAAATTCACTAGTTAGTTGAGGACCCCCCCAGTCCAAAACACCGACAGTTGGCGCGCCAGGTAGGGGCTACTGCGTGTTAGCTTAATCGTCCCAATAAGTTCCGGATGGTAGATCCCATACGCCCACTACGTCTCGGCACGGTGATCTGGTTTGGGAGCCTAGAATTCATGTCTCTAGGACATGAATACGACCTAGTACTCCTCCCACCCAGAGCCCCTTTGGCCGACGACGGCATCCCGCACCCACGGCCCAGGCGCAGGTGGCGCCCGGGCCGCCACTATCGTCGCACTCGCCAGGCGTGACGCGAGCGGGACCACCCTGACACCGTACGAGCTCAGGGCGACACGCCGCGCTCCGCCAGTATCCCATGCCCGGCTGTTGGTATAGAGTCCCTGGTTGGGGACCTGTCTAGATTAAACCTGGGCAGGGGAAAGGCACCGGTGACATGCAGCGACGCCCCGTCATCAAGTTCCGCACCGCCACCGCCTGAGGAGCCAACTCCGGTGGAGCAGGGCTCGGCGATGGCACCATCCCCGTACCCCTTCAGGTTGAGAAATGCCGCCGCCACCTTTGCTTTCGCCTACGCTTCCGCTCACACGGAGCCCTCAGGACGCCACCAACGTTTCGTCCTTGACCTCTCCGCCACAACCTCGGCTCACACCCACACTGACTCCTCGGAGGAGGACAAGGCGTGGGCCAGAGCAGATTTCTCTGGACTTCACGACCCCCAAGCTATGCGCCTCTTCTTGGCCGCAAGCGACTACTGCTTCGGCTACTCCGACTCTAATGACGAAAGCACTTACGATCCCACTCAAGAGTGCTTCCACATCGGGCTCGGGATGCCAGGGGCAAGTAATGAGAGTGAAGGGGCAGGCAACCGCTCCCCGCTCCGCCAAGGGGCAGGCGACGCCACACCTCCGCTCGTCGAGCCTCGGGCAGCACGGAACGAGAACGCCGCCCCCGAGGAGCTTCGACGCCTAGACCTGGAGCAGCTCCGTGAGCTCCATGCAAAAGTCGACCAAGACCAACTCCTGCTGCAGCAGCTTCGAGACACTCTCGAGCAGGAGCTGCGAGGTCGCGGTGATGGTGGAGGGGCCCGGCGGAGGGCCCGCGACGTCCACCGCCGCATCAATAACGATGAAGGGAGTGAGCAACCCCCAATCTTCAATCGCGCTAGCCAGAACG